AAATTTATGCAGATCACATTTTATCAATTTTAATATTTAATTTTGAATTGAATTGTGTGTAATTATTGATTAAAAATAATGAAGTTATAAAAATTCTAAAATAAAAAAAAATTATATACAGTGCAAGATATTTTTGGGACTTTAATTATAAAAGTAATGAAACACATGAGTGCACTTAATTTTTTCCACTTTAATGATTATTTTTAAAACTTTTGTAAGTTATTTTATAATTAAAAAAATTATCACTATTGTTAGTATGTTTATCACATTTGTGATAATTATTTTTAATATTTTTTTTTTGTAAAAACAAAGTTATCATATTTATGAATATTTTTACCACTATTATAGTAACTATTTTTATCATTTTTTAGGATACCACAATAATAGTAAAATGTCTGCCAAATGTGGTATAAATAACCATAAATATGATAAATGGAGGTATGATACTGAATTTTTTTTTCTGGTACTATAGTCAAATCCTAAATTTGGATTTAAATTAATTCGTACAGATAGTTAAGTGGTGTGACACTGGACTTAGACGAACCGTAGATCCTAACATCAAGAGTTCGATCCTCACTAATTTCTCTTAGACTTAACTAATACTTATAACTTATAGGTAACTGTAAGTATTTGACATTTACTCGCGCAGTTATGCATTCAAAGTAACCCAACCTCGAAGAGGTTCCTTGTTACTAAGCCAAACCTAGAGTGAGAATTTTAAGGCTCATATTTGGTTGTTATCATCCCTATAAATTTTGGACACAAAACTTCAAACAAATTTTGAGTCAAAAATCAACAAAAACTCAATCATTGGATTTTTTTTTTTTTTTTGGTGAATTTGAGTCAAAAAGTTAGATGACAAATTTCAATGCAATTTCGTCGTACTACGAAAATTGTGTGATTAAAATTTGAGCATATAATTATGAAAATTATGAGAACCAATCTTATTAAGTGTATGATTTATATTGTTCTAATTTAGAACACCATTTATGGAGAATCAATGGTTGGCTTAATGACCACCGTAACATACCGTTAGATCTTTACATCACGGTTCAAATTTTTCCTCTCTCTCTCTCTTAACAATTCAAAATAGTGATCAAAAAAAAAAGAACAATATTTACCCCTTTGTTTTTTTATCTAAGTCTCCTAAATTCATATTACATTTTCATGGAATTTAGGTTAAAAAGCCAAAAAAAAACTTTATGAATCCTTTTTCAACTTATCCGATCCTTTTTTCAACTTATTCACACTACTTTTCTACGTGTCCCTTTTTACAACAATCCCTTTTGAAAAAGTTGCTGCACTATTTTGACCATTGAACTGTTTTTTATTTAAATCTTTTTTATCAGCAAAACCTTTTCTTCTTTGACTTCGTCATGAAAATATTACACACGTATTGGATACAAACCAACTAGTCAAAAATTATGAGCATACATTATATTCAAATTTTATGTCATCAAAAAAGCTCAAATTTCACAATGATTGATATGTCTTATCCTTTATTTCATCGACCATGTGTGTGGGTTATTAATGGTTGATTTTTCATCTAAGACTTTATGGAGTTTCATACACTCTAATATTTTTTTTTAAATATTTCTTAGCGAATCACTTACCATGTATTCAGACGAGGCCTATAATGTATAAATAGGTCTCTCACTTATTAATGGTGAATGGTCATTCAAGAAGAGATTTAAAGAACAAATGTATTAAAAAAATCTACATCCCAATATTTTAATTCTTATTCTTGAGCAATTTTCTGTGTTTGTCTTTAACGCCAAAATTCGAATATAATGTGTGCTGCAAAGACTTTTAAACTTCTGCTCTCTATCTCAACTTCTCTTTAAATGTGAATAACAAATGTGATGTTGATTTAGAGAATTTAGATGTCTATATATAAGTTACGACAGAAACACTAAAGAACAATAAAAATCGAACTTCTAATAGGCCTAAGATTCACATGTTTAACCCAGAACAAACACTCTATAGTCCATTAATAATAAGTAAGTATATTAAAAAATTATTAATAATCTCCTATATTTTATTTCAGAATTATATTTCAAATTTCTTATTATTATATATTTAATAATTCCTTCCATTATTGGACTGCTTACATGTCCCCCTCACCTTTTTGTTTTTGAAATCATTGATGGTATTACAGTGTTGTAGCCTCTTGTTTTTGTTTTTTCGGGATCCGACTGCCATGGCCTCTTAAATGTCATAAAAAAAATATCAAATGCATGAGAAAAACAATTTGAAGCTATTGAAGTCAAAATTGGCATCTTAGGTCAAACAATAATACGAACGAATTATAAATTTAAATGTTTTATGTCTAAATTTTGGTAATTTATTAGGATCATAAAAAAATTATCTTTATGAATACCTTAACTTTAATATGGATGACATGTCTTTAACTAGATCGAGAAAAAAATGAGTACATATGCACATAAATTAACTTAAACATCTATAACCGTTGAAGAAAAAAAAAGGGTAGGTGGGAATAAGGTCAATATGTTCTATTTTTTTGGATACTCAAAGGAAAGATCAAAGAAGATTCATATTAGCCTATTCCCAACCACCCCTCTTGAAAAAATATAGATTCATTATACAATTTTTTTTTGACAATTACTTTAAAAAGGACATAAGGGAAATTGGAGTATGGGGGAAAATTAACCTAAAAAAAGTCATAATCATTTTCCATGTAGGTAATTATAACTTCAAGTATATATCTAAAGTTACATAAAATATGATTTTTAAAGAAATTAAAATTGGTTATAGCGATATGATAAAATTAGAACAAAAAATAGTATTAATTGAGTTAAAAAATTTATGAAAATGCATTATAAAAAAAATAGAACTTAATTTTTAATATAAACATGATAAGATCTAAGATTTTTTTTTATTTTTTATTTTGGGTAAAGAAGAGAGAGATCTAAAATTGATGGCATTGTCTCTCAACAAACTTTCATAATAAAACCAACCACCTTTTGAAGCTTAGTTGACTCATGACTTTGTTCTGGTCGAGGATTGAGCTCAGTACAGTCTGTATAAACTATTTAAATCTCGTATCTACCCACATATTGGTGCCTCGTTATGATACAAACCACTTAAAAACAATCGACTGAATCCGTTTGACTTAATAAATAGAGAAAATTTTATTTACACCTCTTATAAATTATTTTATCTTCAAGCAGACCCCTTATATTATATAAAATTTCACTACATTTCCTTCTAATTTATATGTTTTTGTCGTTCACACCCTCGCCGTGAATCAACGTTATTGACAAATTTAAAATTGCTGATGTCATATAAACTTTTTTTCTCACTACCAACAGTATCATTACTCTCTCCCTCGTTACACATAAAATTGTGACACACACCCATACCAACCACACTAGTAACCCACTTATAGCACACACCCATACCAACCACACTAGTAACCCACTTATAGCACACACCCAACATACAATTACAGTACTACACTAATGACCCACCAAGAAGATACCACCTTAATCACCTAGTCTCTTTCCACCACGACGACTAAGGGGGTTTAAATTTTTGATTGTGGCCGGTCGCAAAAATCGGATAAGAATACAAAAATGTTTTTGGTCTTTTGATTAAATCAGGTAGAAATACAGAATATTCATCAATTTTCGCATTCCTACTTTATCCTACCCACAAAAAATATATTTAACTTTTTTATATTTATAAGAGTATTTGTGTGGTATAGTTTATATTATAACATTGTTATTATTGTGGATGTTTGAGTTGATAAAACATAAATTTATTTTTTGTGTAGGTTACATGATTTGTGGTGAACTGATGATCTATTAGAACAATCATGATTTTAATATGTTTCATATGGTTTAAACTTAAAATAATTATTATTGTATTTGTGTAACAATTATGATAGATTGATGTTCATGTTTTCTTTATTTTATTATAATTGTTGTTGTAGTTGTTTTAGATTTTAGTATTATTGATTTATTGTGTTGTTAAATTAGTGCATGTTATATGATTGAATTGTTAAAATAATTCAAAAATTAATAGCGACAAAAATGTTTACCCGAATTTCTATCCAATTAATTGGATAGAAAGTCGAGTAAGAATACCACACCTGATCGAGTAGGGTAAGTTAAGAAAAAATTATTTCGCAAAGTATCAGGCAGAGAAGACGAAATACTATATTTCCTATCCGTAGGGTAGAGTGAACACACCTAACCCCATATATATATATATATATATATATATAACTGAATTTTATTATCAAATATATGCTATATTTAATTTTTTGACATGTAATGACATTATGATATTATAATACAAACAATAATTTACAATGACAAAAATTATAATATATTTAGATGTGCAAATACTCAATAATAAAAATCTTATAATCAAATTCCAGTATAAATTAAAGAGAAAATGTCTTCAAAAGTTAGGGAGATACCTAAAAAAATGACAAATTAGGTACTCAAAGAGGAGTAAATTAAATTACTAATTAGGTTTCATTATAAATATAATTTATTTTTTATAAAAAATATTATTTAAATATTCACGTGCAATACAAGTTATGCATTTTTAGTTTAGGTAAATACACATTTATGTGTGTTTTATATCTGGTCAAATACAATATACAAGTAAACATTTAAGTTTTCTAGGGGCAAAAGAATAAAAGAGTCACTTCCGATACTTCTATTTGGAGATAAACTTTGAATAGGGGTATCAGTAAAGTTTCAAATAATATAGGGGATTTTTTTGAAGATACGAAATTTTAGAGGAATTGTGAATAAAACTTTATAATTTTTTTAATAAATATAATAATACCCACAATTAGATATAGACTAGTGATCAGTACCAATACAGGGTAAGTTTATATCATTGCGAAAGCTAAATAAATGCATGTGCTAAAAAAAAAAAACCTATGTGTAATAACATTTTTTCTAGTATAAAGGTAATTGCTTTACCAATGCCACTGTATTTGTTTATAAGGATACCTAACCGTAGCTCCCAAAGCAACTTTGTCATCTTAAAATATGTCGATGGTTTCATAAATAGGCCTTTTGCCTTTCTGCAGAGCTGCTTCCTCTCCCTTCTTCTCTGCAAATTCACACTCAAGTATTGTGGGTCTGGTCCAAAAATCACAATGCAATAGAAGGTAATCAATCTCATATATTTCCGTTCTGTATTCAGTTTCTTCAACTGGTGGGTTTTTCCAGTTCAAAGAAACCCAAAAAAAGAAAAAAAAAAAATGACAGGGTTTTCAGGAGGATGATTTTCCTTTATTGGTTTGTTTCAGTTGATGATTCTTCTTCTTCTTCTTGGTCTTCTTCTGGTACTGATTTTTTTATTATTATGCTTCTTTTTTTTCAGGGGCTAGTGTATGATAAGAAGCAGGTTTTCAAGTCAAGTGGGTTGGTAACCATGGCAACAGCTTCATGGCTTTCATCCCTTGAATGTTCTCCCTCTATCAATCAATCTTCAGACACTCTTTCACTTGTATTTCAATGGGTAGGCTTCATTTTTCTCTCTCCTTGTACCCAAAGAATCATCTGGTCGTCCGTTGACCTACTGTTGGTCTTCACCCTCATAGTGGTTGGAGCCCAAAAGCTGTTTTCTAAGTTTACCTCCAATGGCACTTCCACTACCAGCTCCTCCATTAATGAACACCTTCTTGGAACTGATAAGTCTCAATTTAGAGTCAGCCTTTGGTTCTACCTATCTCTACTTGTCACAGCTCTATTGGGCATATCTTATGCTGTTATCTGCATAATAGCCTTCAGTCAAGGGGTCAATTCACCATGGGGGATAGGAGAATCTTTGTTCAGGTTAGTTCAAGCAATAACCCAAGTTGTAATTTTGGTTCTTATTGCTCATGAGAAAAAGTTTGGAGCTATTTCTCATCCTCTGTCCCTCAGAATATATTGGGTTGCAAATTTTATTGTTCTGTGCTTATTCTCTGCTGGGGCTATCTTTCGGCTGATCTCTAATGGTGGAGATGTGAATCAATATGTCAAAATGGATGACATATTTTTCTTGGCTACTATTCCATTATCTGCTTTTCTTTTCATTGTTGCTATTAAGGGGTCATCTGGGATTAGCGTGGTTAGAGAATCTGAACTTAGTACAGACTTGAGAGCAGAAGGGTATGAACCCATTTCGACAGAAACCAATGAGAGTAGCTATGCTAAGGCTTCTTTGTTTTCTAAAGCAGTATGGCTTTGGTTGAATCCATTGCTAGATAAGGGATACAAATCCGCTCTAAAGATTGAAGAAGTCCCTACGCCTCCCCCGGATGATCGAGCCGAAAGATTGGCTGAGCTATTTGAGACCAATTGGCCAAAGCCAGGGGAGAGGTCAAAAAACCTTGTACTTACCACATTACTCCGGTGCTTCTGGAAGGACATGGTTTTCACCGGTTTCCTTGCCCTCCTGCGGTTAACCGTTACCTATGTTGGTCCAATGCTAATCCAGAGTTTTACAGATTTCACAGCTACGAAAAACCGCAACCTATTTAAAGGGTGTTATCTAATATTAATCCTCCTGTTTGCTAAACTCATTGAAGCCCTCAGTTCACATCACTTCAATTTCTATTCTCAGAAACTTGGAATGCTTATTAGGACCAGTGTCATTACCGCTTTGTATAAGAAAGGGCTCAGATTGTCTTGTTCCTCTAGGCAAGATCATGGGGTAGGACAGATTGTGAATTATATGGCTGTCGATGCCCAGCAGCTCTCTGACATGATGACGCAGCTTCACTCGGTATGGTCGATGCCATTACAAGTTGTTGTAGCGTTGGTCCTTTTATATTTTTACTTGGGTCTCTCGACGCTTGCAGCATTGGCAGCAGTCGTTGCAGTTTTAATCTTCACTCTGATACGTACCCAGAGGAACAATATATTACAGTACAGTGTGATGATGAACCGTGATTTGAGGATGAAGGCAACAACTGAGATTCTCAACAATATGCGGGTGATCAAGTTCCAAGCATGGGAGGAATACTTTGATCAGAGAATTCGAGGTTTTCGTCAATCAGAGTATGGCTGGATCAGTAAGTTCATGTACTCAATTTCTTTGAACTTGGTTGTGCTCACGAGCACCCCTGTGGTGGTAGGAGCTCTTATATTTGCAGTTGCAGTTTTGTTGGGAACCCCTCTTGATGCCGGGAAAGTGTTCACAGCAACATCAATAATAAAAATTTTACAGGATCCTGTCCGGAGCTTTCCACAAGCTCTTATTTCAATTTCACAAACTATGATCACATTAGGGAGGTTGGATAGGTACCTGACAAGTCGGGATCTTCAGGATCTTTCGGTGGAGAGAGAGGAAGGTTGTGATGGTTCTATTGCAGTGGAGGTGAAAGATGGGAGTTTTTCGTGGGATGATGAAGGCAGTGAGGAGGTTCTGAAAGGGGTAAATCTTGAGATCAAAAAGGGGGAGCTTGGTGCGATTGTTGGAACCGTTGGATCAGGGAAGTCTTCTTTATTGGCTTCAATTCTTGGTGAGGTGCACAAAATTTCAGGCAAGGTATGGAGTTCTTTTCGTATGGCAATTTACTTTAGCATGGCATCAACATGTTCTTTGATGAGAAATAGTTGCTTGGTACAGCAAAAGCTTCATATCAAAATCAAACCTGTTGCTTCTTTTAGCCACACCTATACATTGGATGATTTGACCCATTTCCACATTGTTGTAACCATTTCACTGGTTTCAGTTCAATGTTCATTAAGTGAAGCCCTCTGAATTAATTAAACAGGCAATATAAGCACAATTATATATTGTAATAGACAAGCTACATGCTTATATAAGGTGCTATATTTTATATTGTAGGAATTGAGGTTTATCTCATCTTCTTTCTTCTTCTTCTACCTCTGTGACAACTATACTACTACTGCTTTCTCTCCCTTAACCATTCAACTGTAACAGTGAGGCCAGTTTATGTCACTAGGAAGACTTTCATGCGAAGATCATCATCAAAACTTGTTTTGAGCAATTAATGACTGATATTCATCATGACAATTCGTTTTCATGATATACATAGTCCACCTTTAGATTAGCAATTGCTAAGCAAAACCAGTCTTTCTCATTAAAAGCATCTTTCAACTGCATCACAAGGATGAAGATATGGGTAATGCTTAGTTTGAGTCTGAACTTACTTAACTGGGCTTCTAAGCATTTGATATTTTCCTGTCTAGCCTATCGGCAAATTTTGTCTAATGATTAGGCTCTTGCATCATAGCTGTAAACAACTAGGTTGTGACATTTAAACCTTCTGATTGAGAAATGATTTCTATGCTTGTGTTCTGTTATTAGCATTATTTGGCATTCAAATAAGATTTAGACCTCAGTCATGTTACTTGTTGCTCATGCTATAAACGTATAATTTTGACATTTCCTTTTGCTCTTTACAGGTCAGAGTTTGCGGGAGTACAGCTTATGTGGCACAATCATCATGGATACAGAACGCAACTATTCAAGAAAACATCTTGTTTGGTTCACCCATGAACAGGGAAAGATACAAGGAAGTGATAAGAGTTTGTTGCCTGGAGAAGGATTTAGAAATTATGGATCATGGAGACCAAACAGAAATTGGAGAGCGTGGAATCAACCTTAGTGGAGGTCAGAAGCAGCGAATACAACTTGCTAGAGCCGTATATCAGGACTGTGATATCTATCTTCTTGACGACGTATTTAGCGCTGTTGATGCTCACACTGGGTCAGACATATTCAAGGTCACCACAAAGTCAACGTGATAACTAAGTATTATCATAAAATATCCTTTCTACTGAGAATGTTGGATGTTTGCATTAGATGTTTCAAATTATAAAGATATTAGTCCTGTCAAATTAATTGAGTTATTGATGATCCATTATCGTTCTGTTGGACAATAGTTAATCATATGAATCCAAAAATTAGAAAAACAAACAGGGGGGGGGGGTCAGCAATAGGACTTTGATGGGTTCTGCCTGCAGAATACACATACTTTCAATCATTATTTAAAACAATATGTTTTTATTACTTCTCTTTTGCCTTAAAAAATATAATCTAGTCTCTTAACAAATTAAACTGAGGAACCTAATTTTGATAAGTTGATGCAGGAATGTGTGAGAGGAGCACTGAAAGATAAGACCATTTTACTTGTAACCCACCAAGTTGACTTGTTGCCTAATGCCGATCTTATATTGGTAAGTATGCTTCTCTCTCTCTCTCTCTCTTGGCAACTTTGCATTTCTTGAAATTGTGGTTTCCACCATACAAGTTTCACAGACTGGTCTTAAGTGGACATGACACATGAGCTTTGAATGCTCTACCAGTCTTACATAGTTGTTGATCAATTGGATTAGCTCTCAGTCAAAGATGCTGATTCCAAACATCATTACGTCCATGGTTCTACATAGCCGACCCTATGCTTCTATGTATAACTAAATGTGTGTGAGTGGGAATTTGTATATACATTAAAACAGTTTTTTCATGAAAGAAAAAATTGCCATTTATTACCAGCCCCTACGGGAAACAACGGCATTGAAGATCACAGTCCAGATGTCTTCTGTTTTTAGGCAAGTAATTCCTTATGTATTGATTTAATGTTCATCTTGTGAAAATGCAGACTCTTGAGTGCTTATAGTGGAAGCTTGGACTTATTACATTTCCCATTTTCATGGAAATATTATGTTTTTCTATAAAGGTTACAATCACATAGTTCTCGAGGCACCACATTAACTGACTGCAAAAATCCTTTTTATTAGTTTCTTTACATTGTTTCACAAAACACCAGGTCATGCGAGATGGGAAAATTGTGCAATCTGGGAGGTATCAAGAGCTTCTTCAATCTGGCTTGGATTTTAGTGCACTTGTGGCTGCCCATCAAACCTCCATGGAACTTGTAGAAATGAACACTACCACGTCTGTTGACAACCCGCCACAAACACCAAAATCACCTCATGCCGCAAGCCCAAGAGATATTAATGGTGAAAATAGGTCTCTAGAGCGATCCAAGTCTGAAAAAGGAAATTCGAAACTCATTGAAGAGGAGGAAAGAGAAACAGGCCAAGTCAGCTCAGATGTGTACAGACAATACTGCACCGAGGCATTTGGATGGTGGGGAGTAGCAGTTGTGATGCTGTTTTCTCTTTTTTGGCAGTCATCTCTTATGGCAAGCGACTACTGGCTGGCATATGAGACTTCAGATGAACAAATTTTCAACCCTTCTTTGTTTGTCAACATATACTCGATCATAGCTGTGGTTTCATGTGTAGTGTTGGTAATTAGAGCATACCTTGTAACATTTTTGGGTCTAAAGACATCTCAGAGCTTCTTCAATCAAATTCTACACAGCATCCTGCATGCTCCAATGTCATTCTTTGACACCACTCCTTCTGGAAGAATATTAAGTCGTGTGAGTTTTATTATTTTCTATTTCAGTACTTGTAAGTGTTAATGACACTGCTCTGATGAAAACAATTCAATGACTGTCTATCTGGACTGACAAAAAATTTCATTTTTCAGGCAACAACAGATCAAACCAACGTTGACTTTTTAATTCCAATATTTATGGGAATGACAATTATGATGTACTTCTCATTGCTTAGCGTTGCTATCATTACTTGCCAGTACGCTTGGCCAACAGTATTCCTCATACTCCCAATGGTTTGGGCGAATATCTGGTACAAGGTATGTTGCAACATATCTGTCCACAAAAAAAGTTATTCTATAGCCTTAGAATCTCATGCTGTGTTCATAGCAGAACTTAACAGAATTCCTCATTCACAATTTTTAATGGGTTCTCTTCACAAAAAATATATAGATTCTATCCTGTTTGTATGGATGGTCTGTAAATGGTTTTTTAAGAGAATAATTTTGTGATATGCTTCACATATTTCATGTTTAGCTATTTATATTAGATGCCTCTTTGAGAATGAAAACATAATTAGTTTTATGGTCTGGAATTGGTTTTTAGGAACATTCAATGATTTCACTGCTGCACATGCTTTCTGCTTATGACATACTGATGTGTGCATTCCTGTCAAAACAAACACACCAGCCCGTACAACTGGAACTGCACAAAGACTCGCACATATGAGATAATTTTTATGTTGTACTTGTTTATTTTTGGTTGTGTAGGGATACTACCTTGCAACATCTCGGGAGTTAACCCGGCTTGCTTCAATCACTAAAGCCCCAGTCATCCATCACTTCTCAGAGACCATTTCTGGCGTAATGACCATACGTTGCTTCAAGAAACAGAACATGTTTTTCCAAGAAAATGTTGACAGGGTCAATGTAAATCTACAGATGGATTTCCACAACAATGCATCAAATGAGTGGTTGGGATTCCGCTTGGAAACGATCGGGACCTTTTTCCTCTGCATTTCGACCTTGTTTATGATCATGTTGCCAAGCTCTATTGTGAATGCAGGTTGTGTGTTTACTAAACTTATTAACCTTTTAAAAGATAACCCCGTTCCCTACAATATTTATTTTAAAGACAATTATTATAGTGATCAGATCAACAAATTCCCACTCACGCTGATTTTATTTTGTTGACTCTGATACCTGAAATTAAGCACTTTCATTAAGATCATCAGCTGGGAATCATTTTTTCACAGACTATGTTTTTGTGTGCCAGATTATATTGGTTTGTCTCTTTCCTATGGCCTGGGACTGAATAGTTTGCTGTTTTGGACGGTATATATGACTTGTACCTTGGAGAATCGAATGGTTTCCGTGGAGAGAATAAAACAATTCATTAGAATCCCTTCGGAAGCTGAATGGAAGATAACAAGTTCACTTCCATCTCCCAACTGGCCCAACCATGGTGACATTGAGATAAAAGCCTTGAAGGTAACTTATGCTGTTCTTTATTGGCATCTCTTCTTGACATCTACTACTTTCACCAGATGAGGCCTTTGCCACAAGAAGAGTGCGTGTTAGCACTTGCATTGAGTTGATAATAATTACATTATCTAGTCAAAGTTAGAACCGTAGCTTTCCTGAGGAAGCTCATAATATTTCTTCAACTTTGCCATTAAAGTTTGTTTTGGCTGAACTCAACAAGGGCGTGCCATCGGCCAGGGTTTGCCACAATGTGAAAGCTGACACATCATGATTGATATGAGTCTTGTAATGCATAAACTATTAATTTGTTCACTTTTTTCTGTGGTTATAACGAAGCTTGTAGAACAAAGTTAAAATACAAATTAATAACCTGTGTTTTGAAATTTCTGGTGGAAGTCACCCCAAGGATGAATGAGACTTGGTATTTTTACCTGTGGCTCCTTTTAAAGTATGTTTATATTCTCTACATCTAGAGGCCCTTGGTGAATAAATGGTTCCTTGCATTCTGAACAGGTTAGGTATCGGCCAAATACTCCTATGGTTCTCAAAGGCGTTAATGTTAGTATCCAAGGAGGAGAGAAGGTTGGCGTTGTTGGCCGAACTGGCAGTGGGAAGTCAACTCTGATTCAAGTTTTCTTCAGGCTAGTGGAGCCTTCGTCGGGAACAATAATAATCGATGGTGTTGACATTTGCACGCTTGGCCTTCATGATCTGCGGTCTCGTTTTGGGATCATTCCTCAGGAACCTGTCCTTTTTCAAGGATCAATTAGAACCAATATCGACCCAATTGGGTTGTATTCTGATGAAGACATATGGAAGGTACATATTATTCTGTGCCCCATGCATATTTTATTCTCTTTATGTGCATTGTCTGCATATGCACATCGAACTCATGCTAAATGGATGTCCATATACTGTAAGTTCATGTTGATAAACGGATGATGTTTCTGTTCTCTAGAGTCTTGAACGCTGCCAACTGAAAGATGTGGTTGCTGCAAAGACAGGAAAACTTGACGCTTCAGGTCTCTCTCTCTCATCATTTGTTATTTTCCTTCAATTTTGTTCGCTATAGATTTTCACATCAGTGGTCTATTTAGGCTTACAATTGCTGCACTTTTATACTACTAGTGACTGATAGTGGAGACAATTGGAGTATGGGTCAGAGGCAGCTTATGTGCTTGGGGAGAGTTATGCTGAAGCATAGCAAGATTCTGTTTATGGATGAAGCAACAGCTTCTGTTGATTCCCAAACTGATGCTGTAATTCAGAAGATCATTCGGGAGGACTTCGCAGACTGTACAATTATTAGCATTGCTCACAGAATACCCACAGTTATTGACTGTGACAAGGTGTTAGTTATTGATGCTGGTATATTTCTCGCTCTATATATACATTTTTGCATTGCTGCATTCCAAGGACATTGGTAGCTCAGCTCATAATATCCTTAATTATGAAGCCTGTCTAATAGGTATCTTGGGCCATAACAAGTGGTATATGTACACACATTTACTGCTTCATGTTCATCTTAGATCAATCAAACCACCATACCCAATTGTAGATTTCTGTTCAAACCTGTTCAGCTTGGTCTGTCGTGTGTATTTTTGTTTTTTGTTCTTCTCAAGTTGCGGAAACAACTTCTCCACATGTTGGAGTAAGGTTGCATACATATAACTTTCCAAACCTTGCAATAATGAGAATCTCATGCGCTAAGCCTCCCTCTTTTATGTTTTTATTTATCCTTATCTGCGCATAGTATGTAGGCTGCAATGCTATATATGTATCTCTGTGAACATTTGATATATATATGATATGGGGCGTTGTTGTGCTTCTACAGGACTTGCAAAGGAATATGACAAACCTTCTAGATTAATTGAGAGGCCATCACTGTTTGGGGCACTGGTTCAAGAGTATGCCAACAGATCATCAGGATTATGAACACCCTTTTCACTGTTTCCTTGAGGCACTTCATTAGCATGATGATGACAAAATTTGTTCGGGAGCTGCAAATGCTGGGAATGATGAACCAGACCCTGGCTTCTACATGGAGAGATATTTATCTGCGGCCCAACATATATTGAGGTCTAAAGCGACAAATTTAAATAGGAACTTTTAATCTTTTTAATATTAATGCTCGCTAGTTCAATTCAATTACGTATTCTTAATCAAATTTTGTTTTCATGTCTTATCAATTACTAAAATATCTTTTTGTTTGATACTTGTAACAAATTTATCAATATTTTTTTTAGGTACAATAAGTTTTTTAATTTTTAAAATTTTTAAGTTTTTATATTTTGGATATGACAAAAATGGCTATATTTTAAAAAAATAACCGTGAATTTAAACAAAAGCCCTAAAAATATGAAACAAAAAATTTTAATTTATCAGTGATATTTTAAAAAATAAATATTTTATATTTTAATTATCTCTTAATTAAAGTTAGATTATTATTCCTGTCTGCAAAATTGAGTAAACTGACATGATCATTTTTTATGCTTTAATTATAATGAGAGAAGTACTACATAAATTATAAAGTGAATATATTTAGGAAAGGTATAGGAATTTATCAATGTTTCAAAAAATTAAAAAATATTTTCTCATATTGGAATAAAAAGGTGGTTATTTAAATTTACCCAGAGAAAATGGGATCCATCTATGATATAAAAATTTTAAAATTTTCAGGATTATATATATATATTTTTCAACTAAGGAGAATACGATATATATAAAAATTCTCTTATCCTATTATTTAAATTTACTTTATTATTATTCAAGATATCAATTAAATATTTATGACCGTAAAATATCTTTCTAGTATTACAGTTGTGAAAGTGAAAAGCACAACTATAATTCTCTTATCCTATTAGTTGGATGAGCTTATAGTACTTCCGTATCACCAGTTGTAGGAGAGTCAGCTCTGATATTCTCTATTTCAACGGTCAAGATATTGTTCGTTTTTGGTGTTCATACACTTTCACCTGGAGCTTTGTCTCTGAAAAAGTCTCTATGCAACATATAAAATTATAGCACCTCTTCACATCACAAGACCTTTTGACAGACTATTACGCTATAGAATTGGTTTAAATTCAAATCTATCATCTTAATTTCAACTCAACTTCAAATCACATGAACACGAACAAAAATAAAGAAGTATATGGTACAAAAAATAAATAAAATTGGGTACCGTACTGCCATTTTAATTTTTATGGGTATTTTTATAATTTTTGTGGATGTTTTTATCTATTTTTTGTTGTAACTTGAGATCCGTCATAAAAATGTTAGGATCAATCACAAAATTACCACAAAAAAAAATTCCAAAAAAAATTATAAAAATACCCACAAAAAATATTTAAAAAATTCCACAAAAAGTTATAAAAATTAGAGTATGTTATTGTAGTCTTATCCTAACCTAGATCACATAGAGTGTAAATGTGAGCGGGAGCAAGAGTGATAGCACAAAAAATGACAACATTTAAAAATATTTGAGAGCGGGAGCATATTTGGAGAACAATAAACCTCAAGGCAGTGGAATTTCTTTGGCTTGAATCTCACATAGACAAAACCAAATAAAGTAGATCTTCCCATGCCTATGGAAAGGCTGCTCCCCTCTGTCAATCAACTTTCTCACGTGCTATTTGAAGTGGCAGCAAGCTGGAAGTCCTTTAATTAAGGGAGTACAAGTTGTGTGGCTAATTAATAAAATTTAAAAGTTTAGAGCAATGCTAATGAAATATAATTTGAGCTAATCTAAATTTGTATTCTAAATAAAGGAAAATTATTAGATTAGTGAATTTTATCAACTTTTTCAATTGAGACACACTGATATAATGGGACCCTTTCATTGAAATATAAATTTGAGTTACATAACATTATCGTTAAAAAATGAATCCATGACTCCTAGTCGTTGGATTGGGCTTGAGTTACCAGAAGCCTATCACTAACTTTTCAACTCATATTGTTATTATGTTTAAATATTCACCTACAACACAAGTCATGTATTTTTAATTTAAGTAAATACACATTAATATGTACAATATATCTGGTCAAATACAATATATAAATAAATATTTAAGTTTTGTAAGGGCAAAAGAGTAAAAGAGTCATTTTCGTTATTTCTGTTTGGAGATAAGCTCTCATTAAGGGTGTCACTGACGAATCTGTCAAATTTTGACACGACACTTATTAAGTGGATTTTGGTGAGATTTTAACGAGTTTGGATAGTAAACGATTTGACTCACCAGACACGTTTAATAAATAGGTTGTGTTTGAGTGAGACCTGTCAAACCGTTTATCACACGTTTACACAAATATTGAATCAATATGGTGCCCTCTTGTTATATCTTTCTATTTAAAATAAAAGGCATTTTTTAGTGTTAAATTAATTAAATAATTTTAATTTGATACCCTTAATTTTAATAAAATAGTAGACATATCTTCAAAGAGATCCCTTGTATTATATAACACTTGGGGAAAAATAAGTTACTAATAAGCAAATTAATTATTACATCATAAAGTGTTTTGTTTGTCAGATGGTAAGAGTAGTTTCTAAAACACATATATAAATTATAGAAGTATGCATTGATATTTCAGAAATTAAAAAAAACGTCAATAAAATATAATTTAAATTCAGGGAGTGTCAATGAAATTTATCCTTGTAAAAATTATGAGTAATAAGCGATTTTTTGGGTCATGTAAGAAATAGAGAAAGCATATATACCTTTCTGATTTCTCAATCTTATTAACTCCATGATTAAAAAAAAAATATTAACTCATGATTTACACTATGCAACTAATTTAGAACAATTTTTTTTTTGGGGGAGGAGAGAAAGGAATTTGAACCCTTGACCTTAAGAAGATAAAATTTTCATTTGAGTATTATTAGACAAAAAATTTGTTGGTATTAGAACAACACTAACCCCTCTATTTTTTTTCTTATCTAAATTCCCTAAATTCAAATTCCATTTCATGGAGTTAGGTGAATAATGCTAAGATACTATATGAATCTCTTTTCAACTTATTCACACTTCTTTTCTGCCTTTCCATTTCCACACCAAATCCTTAAAAAAAGTGGATGCACTCATTCTGATTTGACTATTAAAATATATTTTTATTTAAATTTTTTATCAGCAAACTATTTCTTCTTTGACTTCATGATGAATATAACTAAGGTATTGGATACAACCAGCCACCCCAAAAATATGATCACACATTAATTTCAATTTTTTTTTAAAAAGCTCAAATTTAAAAATTATTGGTTGACATCCTATTCTTTTTTATTTCTTCACATTGAACTGATCGTGTGAGTTATTAATGATTGACTTTTTTTTTTCTTGCGACTTTGTAGAGTTTGATACACTCTATTTTTATTTATCGGGTCAGCTACCAAGTTAAAAGCGAGACCCATTATATATAATTGAGTCTCTCACTTATCAATAATAGTGAATGATCCTTTAAGTAGAGAAATAAAGAGCAAATGTATTAGAAATGATCTAAATTCTATTTTTTTTTTCATAATTCTGAAAAATAAGCAATCATCTTTAATTTATTCTTCCTTCTATTATTGAAGTGCTCAAATGTCTGACTCCCCATTTATGTTTCCCAAACCATTGTAGCCATGGCCTCTTAAATGTCATAAAAAAAACATTAAATGAATGAGAAAAACATTTTCAATCTATTGAAGTCAAATTTGGATGGGGGAGGTTGGAATAACCCCCTTTTTTCCTCTTGAACAAAATATGGATTAATTTTATGAAATTTTTTCGACAATTACTTTAAAATGACAGCTGGGAAATTGGAGTATCTGATAGATGATTTAACAAATTTATGAAAAAAAAAAAAGAAATAACTCCTAGTTTTCAGTACAAAAAGCCATTAAAATGTGTAATTTTTATTAAAAAAATTAAGTTCTATTTTAAATGACGTTGTACTCGTGAAGTTGTAATTGTGTTATTATTATATTTTTGTCCATTGGCTCTAAATCACCAAAATGTTATTTAACTTTGGGCTGGCACTTGTTCTATGTATGACCTATCAACAGATCAAATATAATTGATTCGAATTAGAAATTGATTAACAAATTTTGACCTGAATTTAATTTGAATATGTAAAGATTTTCAGTTTTACAATAAATTCGGATCATTAAATCGGAACCAAAGATCTTTAATTGATCCAATAAATATATGTAAGCCATATTTTATTAAATTGAATATGAATTTAACTAAAATTCATCAATTAATCATTGAATTGCATAATATATATTTTTATATACATAATACATCGAATTATATTTGGACCAAATAATGACTAATCAATCTCAAATTTAGATTAAAATTAAACCAAAATGCGACCAATTGACGGAACCCATATAAGTGACTATAATTTCAAGTATCTAAAGCTACGAAAAATGTAATTTTTAAATACATAGAAAATGAAACAAATAATATTATTAATGGAGGTTAAAACTTTATGAAATTCAGTTTCTAAAACAAAATTCGATTGTCTTAATATAAATATGATTAGTTTTAAGATTTTTGTTATTATAAAATAAAAAAAAAAGATTTATCGTTTTCCAAAGTTCTATTCAATGCAGTATCACAATACACGATTGTCTCTCAACAAATTTTTATATAAGCTACTATCTTTTGAAAGTTCGTTGATTAATGACTTTGTTTTGGTCAGAGCAGAGTGAGCTCAGTACAGCCTCTTGTAGGCACAACCAACAAACTAGGGACTTGAAAGAAATAAATTTAATACTTTACCTCTAATTTTATTATTTTAACAGATATTTTTATAATTTTTGATTATTTTATAACTTAAAAATTTATCATTTTTATGAGTGATTTATTATTTTTGTGGATGTTTTTACTATTGTCGTGAGTCTTTTTATTGCATTTGTGGTAATTATTTTTTCTATTTTTTTTTGGTACAAAAAAATTTAATACATTTGGGGGCGTTTTTATTATATTTGTGAGTATTTTTTTTATCACATTTTTAGATGTTTTTATCGATGTTATAGTAACTATTTTTATCATTTTTTAGGAGTACCACAACAATGATAAAATGACTCATAAAAATTGTAAAAATAATCATAAATGTAAAAATGAAAATATGGTACCATTTTTTTTTTCCAGTAGTCAATTTTAGAATTTGTATATTTTAATACAATAGTCTAGTGTTACGATCCTTCATAAGTTAAAACTAAGGCCGATTTTTAAAAACAAGTTCTACCTATGAGTTCATAACATAGAGTGAACCCATTGCACCTAATAATTGTTTATGCACA